ATATATATATATATATAAAAGTTTTCGACTTCCCTCTGCCCCCCTCCCCGTCACTTTAAATATATTTAAATTCTGAGGGGGGCGCTCAGAGATATTTCTCAGAGCTGAGGCACTAAGATGGCCGCCTGGAAATTATTTTTAAAACAACCCCCCCTGCAGCACCGCCACCCCCTCCGTGAAGACAGGGAGAGGGGGGAAAATCCCCTTTTCAGACAAAATGGCTGGCTTAATATTTCATGTTCGCCCCGGCCCGGCCTCCTCCCTGTTGCACCCCCACCCCAGGCTCCTACCCAGAAACCCACCAATTTCTCCCCTTTTCCATAACTGATTAGTGCACAGATTAATAGAGGCTCCCGTGTCCTGAGTGAGTGTGAGGGAGCGCGGGGGGGCGGGGGGGAGGCAGGGTTTCTGCATAAAACAAAAATGGCTGCTGGGCCGGCGCCCCCATAAGCAGATCTGGGGGGGCACTAATCAGTACTCATGCTCAGTCTGACATCAGCATAAATTGTTAAAGGTTAACTAGTTAGATACTAGTCCAACTACGTGTAATTCTTCTTCTTTTCTTCACTAGTCCCTTCCTCCCCACCTCCCTTCTCTAAAGAAAAGCGCTTTTTTTTCTTCCCTGAATACTTCAGAAGGGAGTGGTTTGATGTGAAGGGTTTTTTTTTTTTTTCTTCCCCTTCAGGCATTGAGAAGGAAAAAGATGAAATATATGTTTATATATAACTGTGTCTACACACCTCATGGAAGTCAAAACGCGTTTAATTGTGTACCTATCTTTTCAGCAAGAAGGGATGCGGGATTTTCCTTTCTTTTAAAAAGTGGTAGAAATCCCAGTGACTTTGGGGGGAGAGATATGAAGAGATACAATGATTGAGGTGTTTTTTCTTTCTTTCTTTTTTTTTTTTAAAGGAGTCCATGTTTGATTCTCCCCTTTGCCCAGCCTTTGCAGGGATTAATATTATTGTTGTATATTTTACCTTCACTTCTTCTCCGTTACCTTGCCCGTCCCTTCCCCAGTTGCTTGAATATAAAAATCATCTCACTTAGGAAAGTAATTTAGGGGTAAATGGAACAGATTTTTAGAATAAAGGGAAAATAATCGAGTCTGAAGATTGTGAAATGACTTTCTCTTTTCTCCTATTTCAGTGTATTTCCCTTCTTCCATGATCTCCAACACTGATAAAGTGGAAGAAACTGAGGTACCCTGACAGAGAAAAGTAACTGGAACTGAGAAAGAAAAAAAAAGAGGTAGGGGATTACACGCCCATTTTCATCTGATTCTGACCCTTGATTTTCAACTGTTCCCAGTGTTTATCTCTAAAATGGTACCAGGAATCAAATGGAAGATTGAAAAGGAGTCAAAAAGTAGCTTTCTCATCCAGAGACTTGATCGGAGAAGCCGTAAAATAAAATTCGCCAGCTGAGCAACGCTAGCAAAGAAAGGGCGAATAGCTCGGTTCTAGCTTTGTTGTTCTCACCATCCTTTTCTTACATCTCGTTTTGCCCTTTGCTTCCCACCCTATGTCTGTGGAATCATTTCTTTCTGGGCTATCTCCCTGTATCTTAAGTATGGGCGCCGGCACCCAGCAGCCTGTGCGGTGTTCAGGAGCCCCTTCAGAGAGAGGGGTAGTAGGCAGCAACCACAATGTATTAGTGACAGGGGGAATTGCAGATTTTTGCTTAAGAGGCTAAAATGTTCTTTATTCATGTATCACGCCCCCCCTTCGCCCCCCCCACACTAATGTACTTTATTGAGCATTGATTTCCATCTTTTTCTTAAGCTCACCTTAGGGATTATCTTGCCTCTGCTCCCATATCATTCCTTTGAGTCTAACTCTTATCCCTCTTCCATTTGATCATATTCTGCCCTCTTAGTCCAGGGGTGGGCAAACTTTTTGACTCGAGGGCCACGATGGGTTCTTAAACTGGACCGGAGGGCCGGAACAAAAGCATGGATGGAGTGTCTGTGTGAACTAATATAAATTCAAAGTAAACATCATTACATAAAAGGGTACGGTCTTTTTTTTTTTTTAGTTTTATTCATTTCAAACGAGCCGGATCCGGCCCGCGGGCCAGTTTGCCCAAGGGAACAGTCTTTTTTTTTTTTTTAGTTTTATTCATTTCAAACGAGCCGGATCCGGCCCGTGGGCCGTAGTTTGCCCACGGCTGGCTTAGTCTCTCTTCTCCTAGTCGGTCTGAGTATTCCCTTTTTTCTGTATGTGGGCTTCTTGGGGTCTGTCTTTATTTTTCACTCATCCCTCTGACCCTCAGGTTCTGTACCTCTAAACAACGATCCCTGTCTGTCTGCATTCTGTTTACTTCTGTCTTCCAGGATCGGACTGCATGTGCCCCTTCCTCATGTCTGTCTGCCTGACTTTCCCTTCTCTGGCCCCTGTGTGTCTGGGAAGAGTGTCCGCACGTGTCTGTTGACAGCCCTACACATCATGTGCACCACAGCCTCTGCCTCTGTGCCCTCTCCCTCTATGCCGAGTGCCTCTCTCTGCCTGGGGATCAGGCCGCATGTGCCGTGAGCTGCAGGTGTGGGTGGCCAAAGGTGGCTGTGTGCATCCCTGTACAAACATTCATCATCCTCACGAGTGTGCTTTGCATACAGATCTGTTAATTTGCCTGATTCTTCCTCTTATCCATCTCCTCCTCTTCCTGCCTGCTTCTCCTGCTCTCTTCTCTCCCTACTGACTTCCTGATTTTTCTTCTTCCATCCTCGTTTCTGCCTGTCTCCCTACCTGCTTACTCCTGTTATGGTGTCTGTCTGCCTGCCTGCGGTCTGCTCCTCCCTGACTGGCTGCCAGCCTTCCCTCCCTGGTTGTCTGTCTGCTCCTCTGGCTGTTTGCCCACCACTTTCTCTTCAGCCATCTGTCTCCCCGCCTGCCTGTCTCTATCACTTTTTTAGTCTTGGTTTGTCTACCTTCCAGGCCTTGCCATGGTTCCCTGTATTGGTTTGTCTCAATCTTTTACCCTTCTGCTTGTTCCTCCTTTTTTTTTATGCTTGTTAAGTTCATGATTTTTTTGGTCTCCCTTTATGTCTATGTCTTCTTGCCTTCTTGCTTGCTGCTATCCCACTGTTTAATGTTTGTATCTTTTTTGTTAATATATTTTAATTGATTTCAGAGAGGAAGGGAGAGGGAGAGATAGAAACATCAATGATGAGAGGGAATCATTGATCGGTTGCCTCTTGCCCTCTACTCGGGATCAGGCCTGCAACCTGGGCCTGTGCCCTTGACCAGAATCAAACCTGGGACCCTTCGGTCCGCAGGCTGACGCTCTGTCCACTGAGCCAACTGGCTAGGGCAGTGCTTGTATCTTTTTAGTCTATCTGCTTATCAGCTGTTTCTCCCTTGGCTTCCTCTATCTCAGCATCCCATCAACGATGAGGGCTCTCTACCCCAAACCTCTCAGTGACCCCTTAACTCCAAAGTCTTATCTGCCTTCTTGCCATGTCCCTTGCCTTCTCTCATTGATTACTTCCATTTCATTTGTCTCTTTTTCTTTTTGTCTTTCTGGTTCCTCAGACAGTCAGCCTGCCTGTCTTTTTGCCATTTTCCCAGTCTTGTCTTCCTGCCGTTGTGCTGGCTCTGCCTTGCTGGCTCTGTTGTCCACATCTTGGCTTGCTTTCCTTTTTCTTCTTAGTTTTTTAATCAACTTTTAAATAGACAGTACATACACATGGTCTAAAATGTTTTAAGTACTAAAAATGTCCTGTGAAGAGTAAGCCTCTCTTGCTATTCCCTCTGTCCTTAGTTCTTCCCCAGAGTTGGTCACTACTTCATATTTCTTGGATATTGTTCCAGAAAAGAGTATATATATATATA